AGTGTTCAGTTTTCATAATGCTGTAGATACCAATGTTCTTGTAGTGAGGAGGAAAAGAGGATACATGCTATTATCCAAAGGACTTTTAAAAACTGATCCACACGGTTGTCCTATGTTGAAGGCTGCTTCTGGTTTTCCTTCTCTGCAGGTCCTTGGCCTTCACCATCTCAGGGATCACTTCCAGGTTAAAAATCTATGAATTTCTCAGTTGTAACAACTTGTGAATGTTCTCCAAAATCATTTCTCTGGTTGATTGGTATCTTCCTAATCCCCTCATTTCTCTTCTAACCAGAGGGTGAAAGTCATGTCTGCTCTTTTGACTTTAGATGCCAGAGCTCCATGTAGGGACATCTTGTAGTGCCTCCAGCTCAGATGGCATCACAAGGAACCTAAGAAGAGCCCTGCTGGATCAGTCCAAGGGCCCCTCTAGCCCAGCTTCCTGTATCTCATAGGGGCCCCACCAGATGCCTCTGGGAGCACATAAGATATAACTGTGTCCTGATCCCCCTCCCCTGCATCTGGCCTTTGGAGGCACTTTCCTTCAAAGCTTGGAGATTATACATCTCCATCATCATGGCTTGTCAGCTGCGATGGACTTTTCCTCCAGAAATCTTTGGAGACTTTGCCATAACCTATCCTGGCTCACCTTTCTGGAGCTTCTGTGCAACCTGACCAAGTTGGTGCCAAGCAGTGGAGAGACACTGGGTGCTTCCCTCCCTCGGACCTCTGTTTGAATTTCAGGGTATCTGCCTTGTTCAGTCTGCTTCAGCTGAAGCTGTGTATTAGGAAAGTTGAAGATACTGTCCATGAAGGACTGAATCCTGAGCTCTATAGCCATCATAAGAACATAAGTGTCCTGCTGGATCAGGCCAAGGGCTCATCTAGTCCAGCTTCCTGGAACTCTCAATGGCCCCACTAGATGCCTCTGGGAGCACACGAGACCATGAGAGACCTGTCTCCTGATCCCCCTCCCTTGCATTCATGTTCTTCAGCCAAGATGTTCTTCCTCTTCCTGTTTGTCCCATTTATTGTCACCTTGAATGACCAGCCATAACAATCTGTGCTGTATGTTTCTGATATGTCCAAGAATTTGTGTGTGGGGGACTTCATAAAATATCACCCTATATGCACTCACCTGGGGGAAAGGTCCATTGATCTAAAAGGGTCTCTCACATATGAGTAAACCCATAGGATGGGCCTGTTGGCTTTTCCCAGGCACCTGCCTCAACATTTTAAGCTCTCCTGGGCTGACGTACCTTACTTCCGCTTCCTGGGGTACTTTAAATCTCTCAACATTAACAAGTTGTTCAGAAAGACCAGTTTCTCAGGTTTGTTTATAATCAAGTTTAGAAAAACACACATAGAATGAGCTTTATACAGCAAAAAAATTATACAGCAAAATTGCTCAGAATGATCTAGGCGGATTTAAAAAACATTAGTTGAGTGAGGAATGATATCAACTCTCACAGATACAGTATTTACCATTTTTCCTGATGAAGTGAAATGTTCTCTGTAAAAACTTGCCATTTATTGGATTTTTAGTGGTCCTAAAAAAGGTATCATCCACTCTCACAGCTGTTGGCTACAGCAGCACGGAGGGAAAGTATAATCATAATTACAATCTGGGTCCAATGCAATGATATTTTCCTTAGGCTTCCTGAAAGTCTTACCATCCATGAAAGAATTCACTGAGCAGAAAAATTGTTTACATGCCTAGAGTGTGGAAAGAATTTCAGTCAACATGCAGACTTTGCTACACATCACAGGACTCACATAAGTGAGAAGACATTTGAATGCTTGGAATGTGGGAAAAACTTTGGACATCTTACAACCCATGAAATAATTCACTCAGGGGAGAAGTTATTTGAATGTCTGGAATGTGGAAGAAGATTCAGTTAACAGGCACACCTTGGTAAACACCTAAACACACGCAGGAAGCCATTTCAAGCTTGGAGTGTGAAAAGTTTCACTGAGCGGGCAAACCTTTCTTATAACCACAGGACCCACACAGGCGAGAAGCCCTTTGAATATCTGGAGAGTGGGAAGACCTTTAGATTGAGAGCAGATCTTACATCCCACGCAAGAATTCACACAGGGGAGAAGCCATTTACATGCCTGGAGTGTGGAAAGAGTTTTGATCAGTCTGCAAACTTTTCTAGGTATCACAGGACATACAGGTAAGAAGTCATTTGAATGTCTTAAGTGTGGGGAAACCTTTAGACTTGAGGACATCTTACTGCCTCTGAAAAAATTCACTTAGGGGAGAAGTCATTTAAAATAAGTAATGGGAGTGTCAAAAATGCATCTATCAGAAGGATGACCTTTCTTTGCATTGTAGGATGCATAGAAGTGAGAAACCCTTTGAATACCAAGAGCGTGGGAAGACGTTCAGAAAACATTGTGCTCTTGTCCCCCATTCACATTGGGGAGAAATTCTATTTTTGCATGTTGATTATACAGTATCTTGTAGCCTGTATTTTTGTCCATTCCCACCATCTTGGGGTTTTAGGAGTGTTGTTCTCCTTTTATTTTTATATTTTGTGGGTTGGGTGGGGAATGGTTGTTTTCCTTTATATTTCTTTTTAAAATTGGAAACCACACAGAATACTGACAGGCCACTAAATCGTGTAGTATAAAACAGAACAAATAAAAATAAACAAATAAAGACCAACATTCTCATAATTAATTCAAAGCAACCCTTTAAATTTGTGATCTCCAAAATGTAGTCTCATTATCAACCTATTTAGCTTTTAGAAACTCAAAGCCACGGTTCATTTATTGAGTCAATCCCTCTGATACTCTGCCTTCCTCTTTCCCTGCTGCCTCCCACTTTTCCGGGCAATACTGTCTTAATTTAAAGAGCCATTCAGAAGGATCCCCCCCCTATTGTTACGAATCTTAGTGTGGCCTATTGGAGAGAGTGAAGGACTAGGAATCTAGAGATCAGGGTTCAAATCCCCCTGGGCCATGAAAACCCATTGGGGGAAGTGTAAATGATAAAACTACCCCTCAAATATCTCAATGCCTTTGAAAGCTATGTTAGGGTCACTATAAGCTGGTTCTGATTTGACAGCACGAAACACAATTGTTGTAAGCCGCCTTGAGTCCCTTTAAAGGAGAAAGGAAGGTTAAAAAGATTATGTGTGTGTGTGTGTATATATATATATAAAAAATAAATTTCCCCTCGAAATTAATGAGACAGTAATTTGACAAGTGCCAAAGGCGTCCCTAACTTTTCAAACGGCCGTTAAACAGACACTCCTCTCGAAGCCACGCCCCCAGAGCCAACCGTCGCTCTCCCTGCAGGGGCACGCGCCTCTCCCTCCGCCGGTTGTTTTCCCGCCCTCCTCACGCGCCGGGAGCGGCCGTTGGTCGGTTGGGCGCCTGAGGGGGGAAAAGAAAGAATAGGAGGCGGTTGAGCCTCCCGTTAAGAGGAAAGCGAGGTGAGGGGCGCGGTTGCTCCTTCTGCCGCCCAAGGTCTGGCCCCCGCCATACCCCTCAAAGTTACATTTCCTTTCCGTTCCTCAGCCTCCTCTGAAGAGGAAAAAGGAGGGAGAAGCCAAGCGCCGTCTGCCTCCCCTGAAACGCCCCCCTTCCTCGCCCTCCGGCTGTCGGTGGGGCTTCAGGGACCACGAAATGGAGGGTGTTGTTTTTTCAAAGTTGGGAGGCATGCAGGCAGAAGAAGAGCTCTCAGGGTGGGCAAACTAGGCTTCTTCTCCAAGCCCTCAGAAAGGAAGGGAAGGGCAGTGATGTTTTACTTCGGTTTCCTGTGGACGAAGCCGAGGAAGGATCTTGGCGCTCGCCTTTGACAAGATTAGGAGCAACAGAAAGCCCCCTTTCTAGAGAAGGAGTAAATGGGGAGAGGAAGTGGTGACGTCTTTCGCCGGAAATGCTCCTTCCCCCAGCTAAGTATTTCCTACACCGGAAGCGGGCAATGTGTATATAGGGATTTAAAAAAATTAAAAAATTTTCTGGACTACAGTTATTCTTCTAGGGCGGTGGTTAGGCCTTTGCGAAGGGTAGTCTAAAAAAGTAACGTTTTCGGAGAAGCTTTCTGGTGGGGTTGTATCTCGAGCTCCAAACCTGTCGTTTTTTTAAAAAAAATACTACTACTCCCAGAATTCTCCGCCAGCAGAGTCAGTGACTGCGATGATGGTTGTAGTCAAAACAGTTAAACCGTGGAGTGAACGTATCAAGAACTTGGAGACGTTATACTGGTGGACTAAAACACCTGTAGTCGAGCCGGGTAGGGATTGAGGGATTTGTAGTAGGGAAACAACTGGGACTTTCCAGGCTGTGTTTGCCCACCCCTGCCGGAAGAGACTCGGGCGTTGGCTTGGCCGGAAAGGAACGGCGTTACATTCCAGAGTGGGGGAACGAAGGTGGGCTGGAGGAGCCACGCCCTCCAGGGCGAAAGGAGCTCCTCTGCAAAGCCTTGTCCTCCTCTCTGGCAGAGCAAAGGCGTTACTTTTTCCTCCTGAGGAGAGTTGGTAAGGATCTCCTTGCAATCTATGTATTTTTTTTTCTTTTGTTGTGCTTTGAAAACGTTTTAATTCAGGGGCTGCTTTTAATGTGAACACCAATTTAATGGTTTCTAATGTTATAAGATTCATGGATTCACTTGCTGTACATCCCTTAAAACCCTTGCCCTGTGTAGGAGATAATTTGCTGCCACCAAGACTTCTCAAAGTTGGAACCCAGATATTTGTGCACTACAGTGCTCCCTGACCCCAATGGTTATGTTGCAAGAAAGTTCAGACACCCTGGATTTGTTCTCATGGGTGGATGGAGGAGGAGTGAGAGGTCAAAATGTCCCACAGAGGTCTTTTATCATTACAGCCAAAAAGAGAGCACAGCCCAAAAGGTGTAGTTAACAAGTACAGTCTATGCAAGGCTAAGGAAGATTAAAGGGCTAAACCTAATTTCCTTTATCAGCTGTGCTGCCCAGGGGCTTCTGAGAATTGTACTCTGTGGACTTCTGGGGCCAAAAGTTTTGGAACCCTTGCCCAACATGGAATCTCCTTTGGTGTATCATGACAAGGAAAGCAAAATGTGATGCTTATTGTATAATTTTTTTTAAAGAAGGAGAATTTCAGGACTGAAAAAAAAATCTGAAATGCCATTAAGACCTAAATCAGCCTGGTGGCTATTATGTTCTTTCAATGCACAAAATAACTAGTGGTGACCCTATTAGGTCTTTCAAGGGATGTGAATTATTTTCAAGCTTTGATATTTAAGGGGTGCTTTTACAGATTCTGCACCCCACTGAGTTTCTGTGCTCTAGCAGGGGTTTGAAACTGGGTGTCTTGATTCCTCATCCACTACTGTATCCAGGACTACACCATACTCAGTTTCAGCTCAGCCTTTGCTACACTTTTATGGTGGGGGAACTGGATGTATTGTGGGAGTACCCATGTTATGCAGACATTTAGTAGAGGAGATGGGGTGGAAGGAACTTGTTGCACCCCAAGAGCTGATCCATCTTGCTTGCCATGAGGCCCAAAGCATGAGAGCCCTTTGAAAGAAAAGTGATGCTCTGTGTGAACTTTTGTTCTGTCTGAAAAAGCCAGCTCTAAGCTATGATACAGCATCTAATCTGAAAGATGACTATTGTGGCAAAACACAGCCACTGGACCATGAAACAGATGAAACAGTTTTTGTGTCAGCCAAGGATTCTTCTCAGAGCCAGCTCTGACATTAGGCAGTGTGAGGAGCTGCCCCAGGTGGCAGATTCTCAGTGGTGGCCGCAGACTGTTGGAAGACAGTGGTGGGTGGCCTGTGACTTGTTCTCCAGAACCAGAGCTAGTCTGTTGCTTTCCAGTAAAGCTGAACCTACCCTCTCGTTGCCGGTGTTAAAAAGTTGAGCTACCAGTCCAGTTTGCTTCTGTGTAAGGAAAGGGAGTAGGCTGGCTGTATGAAAACGAATGCAGACCTCTTTCACACTAAAGAGTAGCATGCAAGAGGGTTTTCTGCAGGAGCATTGCATAACTTTTCCATCCTCATCTTGGCTCAAATTCTCGTGGGATATGCAAAATGTTTTTCAATATGGCCCAAAGACCAAAATATTGATGTTGTTTGCCTTCCTTGCTTATCAGTTACAACCAAGTGCTTTTCATCCAAGGGAAGTTGTACCTAAGCAAGTGGAGTAATTTGTATTTTACTCTGAGCCCATCTACTTTCTCCTGATACACCTGTTTGCCTTCACCGGGCCATGTCTGACATACATCCAGGACAAATAGCATTAGAAACACCAAGAGTAAAGGTGTCATTCAAGAGATATGTGTTTCTGAGCAACAGAATTGACAGGAAATATTTAGCCTGAATCAGCAATAAAACACTTGATATCTCTTGGTTTTCCCAACATTTGTTAGGCTTAATCAGTAAAAGCTTTCACGTGTGATCTTCTAGCTACTGATGTTAATTTTGGAAGGCCCTGAGGCGAGTTTTCATGGAATTGCAAAGGAAAGATGGGTATATCAGGTCTGATTCAGGCAAGAGTCAGACCTGATATACTTCAGGCTCACACTTGGAAAGGAGGTGGTGTCCATGTATGTATGTATATGTCTCTCTCTCTCTCTGTGTAAATACATTTTGACTGGATTTTTTGGCTCTCTGACAATGCTGATCCCTTGTGGAGGAGGGGAGATGCTTGCAAAGTGTTCAGTGCTTTAATTATTCCTTGTATTTTTACATCATGAATTTGAAAGTTGATTTGACAGCATAATATGCCCTGGTTGCCGTGGAGCCAAAATCCTAGTTACAGCTTTTTCCTTCATTTGTTTCTGTTTAAAATTTTATATCCTTTCAGTGCTGAGGTTTTGGTAGTTTTTCCCCTCCTTTTATTTCCACCTGGACTGATTTTTTTCCCATCTGAATTTCTTTGGATTATGTAGGACTGATTCTGAATTGATCTTCTGCAGTCTTCTTCTGAATTTTGAGAATCTGCTCATCAAAATAGGTAATTGTATATTTCTTTCTCAGTCTTTTGCACAACTGTTATCCTGTTACAAGCAAAGTGAGCTTGAACTAGAGAACTGATGGAAAATAAAGAGCAAAACCAGTGCCGTATACTGTAGCTGGCTGGATAGCTCAGTGGATTATCGTATTTTTCTGTGTATAAAATGACACTTTTCCCTTAAATAATTTGAGAAAAAATTGAGGGTGTTTTATACATGGAAGGCAGCTCTTTACCTCCGCCTTTTGCAAAAGCACGGGGCCTTAGCAAAAAGGAAGAGGAGGCGTCGCTCTTCCTTTTCGTTAAACTCCGTGCCCTCTCAAAAGGTGAAGGGCAGCGGGGCTTAGCAAAAAGGAAGGGGAGGCATTGCTCCCTTTTTGCTAAGCTCCGTGTCTTTTCAAAAGGCAACGAAAAGTGGCAGTCACTTCGACAGCCACTTTCCTTGCCTTTTGCCAAGGCACAGGGCTTAGCAAAAAGAGAGCCCTTTGATCCCTGCTTTTTCTAATTTGGGGTTAGAAAAGGGGGTCGTCTTATACTTTGGGTCGTCTTATAAATGGAAAAATACGGTAGGTATCTGACTGCACAGCCAGAGGTTGGGAGTTCAATTCCCTACTTTGCCTCCTGTGAGAAAAGCCAGTGTGTATAGCCTTGGGCAAGTCCTAGAACGCACCCTGAAGGAGGGAATGGTAGAACACTTCTGAGTATTCTCTATCTGGAAAACTCTGAAAAAGAGTCACTGTAAGTTAGAATTGACTTGACAAAATATTATCATTATAGTGTATGAACTACAGTATAAGTATATCTGATTGCTGTGTGACTTTTGTATTAGAGCCAACTTCATTTTATGTTTTAATCTTACATATCCAGAGACCTTTGGGTATTATGGGTGGCATATTAGTTAGTTAGTTACAAGTTCTAACAAGTTAGAATTTATTCCCTCGTAAAATAATTAAAGAACATTTATGTATATTTCTGCTAAGACTGGCGGGGTGTGTGAGGCAGGGATGGTGAGTTTCATTAGTGCACTCCATCTTTGCCACATAATCTAAGCATTTTGTAATCAGCAAGCACTTTTCTCTTTCCCAAGTCTTGAAATAATAACTTTTCTAGACTATACTCCAGTGGCCAAGCTGACCAGGGAATGTCCAGACTTGTAATCAACCAAGGAAGGGGAGGCTTTATTTTTCCTGAAACAGATTGACACAGGGGCTGTCCTGGGGGGGTTGTTGTTTAGTTGTGTCCGACTCTTTGTGTCCTGCGGGAATTCACTCCAAATCCTTAGAGTTATTAATGGATACCACTTTCAAAGAAAAGTAAGCTTATTCAGGCATTTTAGAATTGGGTGTCAGCATCCTCTGTCCATGAAGTTTCTCCATTATTGAGAATCCTGTTTTTTATTAGTGTATCTAATGAAGTGAAAAGCTTCAGTGCAAAGTGTATCTCCTGTTTATTGTTTTCTTGTTGTTTCAACTTATACATTACCCGATAATGCTTCGAGCACTCTCTGGGCACTTTGCAGCATAATTATGCAAACAACACACACCCCCTCGTGAGCTGGGTAGTCATTTTGCCAACCTTGAAAGCTTGGAAGGCTGAGTCAGCTTTGTGAACCCAGCAGGATTGAATTTAGATTTGTGAGCAGAGTCTTGACTGCAGTACTGCAGTTTAACCACTTTGCCATTTCCTTTACCCCACATAGCAGAGGAGCAACAACAAAGAGGGTAGTGATAGGCTTGTTTCTTCCCCACACTTTCAAGATGAACCCCTAAATTAAAAGTCTGTGGAAGGAACATCAGGATTCTGTATTTAGGTTAGAGGCAAAAATCAGGTCCTATCTTTGTTAGCTTACAGGCAGATACAGTATTTACAAGGAGAAAACCTCATCAGAGTGAGTGAATATACCCATCCAGCTATGTACCGTGTTTCCCCGAAAATAAGGCAGGATCTTATATTAATTTCTGCTCCAAAAATGCATTAGGGCTTATTTTCAGAGGATGTTTAATTTTTTTCATATACAACAATCTATATTCATTCAAATACAGTCATGTCGTCTTCTTCTGGTGGCTGCACTAGGGTGGAGGGCAGGGTTTCACTTTAACTGGGGCTTATTTTTGGGGTAGGGCTTCTATTATGAGCATCCTGAACAATCATTCTAGGGCTTATTTTCAGGGAAACTATGTTTTTTTACCATAGGGCATACTATGGTTAGCTTACTGCGGTAGCAGTGACAGGCCAATATTAATTAAGCAGCATTCCTTGCCTGTCTAGCCATTTCCCCTTAACTTGATCTGTTAGTTATTTCTACTTTGTACTTTTGTTTTCCTTGCAATTCCTTTTTTGCAAACCAGATTGCAGTTCGTATAAGAGAAAAAAGTTATGAGACACAGAATATAGAAAGAACTTTTGGATGCACATGATAATAGAGATGTTCAAATACACATAATACCTTTCCACACCTGAGAAGGGCCAGCTACTCTTTCTTAGCAGTGGCACTAATAGCAGAGGCCAAATGCTAAAAGAAAATTAGAATACAAAGTCTTAGGGTTGTGTTCCAAGCTTTGGAAAGCTCTCTCATCACAGCAGTGGAAAAGGTAGACTTCTTGGAGCACCAGGTCACCACCTGTTTTAGTCGCCCCAGTGAACATTTATTTGATGTTAGGATTGGGAATTTGAAGACACACCCTTGCCCAGCAGGCTGAGGCAAAGAGACAGTCCCAAAAGCAGCAAAACCAGGGAGCTGGAAAGGGGACAGATTGTTTGTCTTCAATGTGGAAGGAACTGTCACTCTCAAATTGGCCTCCTCAGCCACACTAGACGCTGTTCCAAGTCCTCCATACAGAGGATGTTACCATAGTCTCTCAAGACTGAAGGTTTGCCTACAGAAAAGGACGGGGAAGTCTGATGGCCCTATGAGAAAGGATGCACTTTATCTGCTTGGGATTTCTTTATTTTAATACTGTTTATATCCCACTGATATCAGATAGTCTTAAAGTGGGATAAAACAACAGGAATGCCACCACTGACGGGCTACGGTCAAGAAAACCCTCTTTTCCTAATCTCCACAGCGTGTGTTGCTCTGAACCATGGGCCACGGAGATGGCCTCCCCCAAGCAAATCTTAATGATGGTGCAAATAAATAGAGAGGTACTCCCTCGAAAGATCCAGGTGACCCAAGCCATTTAGGACGTTGTAAATAATTGTCAGCACCATGAACTGAGATAGGAAAGGTATGAGTGGCCGGCGCATTTCTTGAAGAACTGGCATCTTATACATCGGGAAAAAACACCTTTCAGAGCTACATCTGTCACCTGTTGAACTCGCTGCATGATCAGCATCATTTTCAAGGGCTGCCCCGCATGGAGGGCACACAGCAGGTCAAATGATGATTTCAGTAGATCTGTAACATCCAAAAGTCTTACAGATGTAAAGAAAATTGTATACTAAAATACATAAAAATGTATGAAAGCTGAACTTAAATTCTAGGGATATATTTAAGTCAAATATATAGGAACAAGATGCCTTTTAAGAGTAAAAAAGAACAGTGGAAATGTTTTTAAATTACTTTATAAAAATCAAAAATCTATTAAGGCAGAGAATACATCTCTAGAACATATTTAAAAATAAAATCATGACTTTTAATGCCTTCAAGCTTTTAAGATTTCTTGCAAATGCATAGAAAAATATCAGGGTTCTTAAATTGAGAACATATAAAATGAAAAGCATTACTTAGTCTGTTAATAACACACACATACACACAGAGACTGACAGACAGACAGAAAAAAATATTTCTAAAAAACTCACCCAGATGGGCCATGAAAATCTGAGGGAGATTCCATGATTATTTTCTCCTTTGATGTCTGGTGCATGAAGGGGTGTGGACCTGTTATAATGTGATGAATGTCTATATGTTATGTGTGCCATATAATCACATATTTCTAATTGTTCACATCTCTTCAATCTATAAATTGCTCTATGCTTATTCGGGTTTTTCCATAATGAGAAAAACCTGAATAAGCAATAATTTCTGAATGAGCAATAATAATGTAGTATCTCATTTACATTGCTACTTCTTATATTTCTGGGTTGGAAACAAAATTCTTATATATTTATATTTTGACTCTTTTGTACTAAGATAGGGAATATTGAAGGAAGAATTCCTGACTAATGATTTCGTAAGCTAGGAAAGCCTGTAATTCATATACAGTGGTGCCTCGCTTGACAAGCATAATTTCTTCTGTTGAAATCGCTGTTAAGCAAAATCCTTGTCAAGTGAAACAAAGAAGCCCACTGAAATGCATTGAAACCGGTTCAATATGTTCCAATGGGCTAAATACCTCAGCGTCCAGCGAAGATCCTCCATAGGGCGGCCATTTTTGGTGCCTGTAAAGCGAGGAATCAGTCCTAAAACACAGTGGGGAGCCATTTTAGAGCCGCCGATCAGCTGTTTAAAAATAGTTGTCTAGTGAAAAATCGGTTCCCGAAGCATTGATCATCGTCAAGCAAAATTTCCCTATCTAAACATCACAAAAGTGATCCCAAAAAGTTCATCATCAAGCGGTTTCATTGTTTAATGAGGTAATCGTTAAGCGAGGCACCACTGTATTTGCTTTTTCCAAAAAGATGGCACAATTGGATTACAAATGATATTTCAACTCTGCGTTGTTACATTTATCTCTTCATATGAATCAAGTGACCTTACTTTGGTCAGTGAATTGCCTAATTATTTTATGCAACAGGTATTGTTTTGAAAGCAACAAAGTTCAACTTGCACTTTTAAAATTTGTTTCACTTTTAAAGTGCNCCCCCCCCCCCCCAGTAATTTTACTATTTTACGAACTCTCTTAAACATACAAGTTTTCAAACATTGAGTGGGGAAGAGACACCGTAATTAAGAGGATGCTCCTGTGGCCCCGTAGGGAGAGAGAGATTGGAAGCTAGATTAACAGAAGGACTTCTCATTGAAACATGCCTCTTGCCGCCCTACAACTGTCCATTACAGAGATCTAGAGTGATGTGTAAACATTTCATGAAGGCTGTGAAGCAACTCATGTTTCTAACCATGGATCTCAACAGGATTTTTCCAGCATGGAAGACAAACATTTCCTCACAGAAGGTCATACATGTTATGTCAGAAAGAGAAGTGGAATGGCTTGGTTTTCTTCAGCATATTAATTGGTGACAGAATCGGCCGCCCCACTGATGTTTGTGAAGGTGGGTCCTCCCAGAGCTGGATTTTAATCTGCATCCTCTCTGGCAGTTCATGGGGGTTTGTTACTTGATTCAGAATTGGGTTTTTCCTGCTCAGTTTAGTTCTGCCTTTTTATTTCCACAGGAAAGATGTCAGAGAGAAGAAAGAAAACAGGAGGACTTCATATGCCAGAGGAAAGCGGTGAATATTCAGATACGAAGGAGGGTTTTGAAAATCAAGAAGAAATGAAGAAGCTTGGAGGAAATCAAGTAGATGAGAAGATGGAAGAATCCATTTCTTGTCTAGAGAACGTCCATCAGAAAACATGCAAAGAAGAGCATTTCCCTGAGGGTGGGGAAATCTTTTCCCATAAATCAGCACTTGATCACCATGGGAAGATTTACAAAGAGGAGAAACGGCTTACATGCGTTGAACGCAGAAAGACTTTCAATCAATCTGCAAAGCTTACTGAACATCTTGATATCCACATAGGCAAAAAACCATTTGAATGCAAGGAGTGTGGGAAAACTTTCAAGTGGAAAAGATCCCTTATTTGCCATCAAAGCGTACATACAGAACAGAAGCCCTTCGAATGCCTGGAGTGTGGGAAAACCTTTGGACTGAGAGCACATCTTACAACCCATGAAAGAATTCACTCAGGGGAGAAGCCGTTTAAATGTCTGGAATGTGGAAAAAGCTTCAGTCAATCTACAAACCTTGCTACACATCAAAGGACCCACACAGGCGAGAAACCATTTGAATGCCTGGAGTGTGGGAAAACCTTTGGACTGAGAACACATCTTACAACCCATGAAAGAATTCATTCCGGAGAAAAGCCGTTCAAATGCCTGGAGTGTGGAAAGAGTTTCAATCAGTCTGGAAGCTTTGCTAGGCATTACAGGACCCACACGGGTGAGAAGCCATTTGAATGCCTGGAGTGCGGGAAAAGCTTTAGACTGAAAGAAAGTCTTACTACCCATGAAAGAATTCACTCAGGAGAGAATCCATTTACATGTGTAGAGTGTGGAAAGAGTTTCAGTCAACGTGTGAGCCTTGTTAAACACCTTACTACTCACACAGATGAGAAACCATTTAAATGCCTGGAGTGTGGGAAAATCTTTAGACTAAAAGAACATCTTGCTACCCATAAAAGAATTCACTCAGTGGAGAAGTCACTTAAATGTCTGGAATGCGGAAAGAGTTTCAGTCGACATGCAGACTTTGTTACACACCACAGAATCCACACAGGCAAGAAGCCATTTGAATGCCCCGAGTGTGGGAAGACCTTTGGACTGAGAGGACATCTTACAACCCATGAAAGAATTCACTCAGGGGAGAAGCCATTTGAATGTCTGGAGTGTGGAAAAAGCTTCAGTCAACGTGCACATCTTGCTAAACATTTCAATACCCACACAGGTGAGAAGCCATTTCAGTGCCTGGAGTGTGGAAAGCGTTTCAGTGAACGTGCAAACCTTGCTAAACACCATAGAACCCACACAGGCGAGAAGCCCTTTGAATGCCTGGAGTGTGGGAAAACCTTTAGACTGAGAGAAAGTCTTACTACCCATGGAAGAATTCATTCAGGGGAGAAGCCGTTTACATGCCTGGAGTGTGGAAAGGGTTTTGGTTGGTCTGCAAACCTTGCTAGACATCAGAGGACTCACACGGGCGAGAAGCCCTTTGAATGCCTGGAGTGTGGGAAAACCTTTAGACTGAGAGAAAGTCTTACTACCCATGGAAGAATTCATTCAGGGGAGAAGCCGTTTACATGCCTGGAGTGTGGGAAGAGTTTCAGTCGACAGGCAGACTTTGCTACACACCACAGGACCCACACAGGCGAGAAGCCGTTTGAATGCCTGGCGTGCGGGAAGACCTTTAGGTTGAAAGGACATCTTACAACCCATGAAAGAATTCACTCAGGAGAGAAGCCACTTAAATGACAGAAGTTTGGAAAGATTCTCCATCAGAAAGAAGCCCTTTCTTTGCATCATATGATACAAAGAGGTGAGAAACTACTTGAATGCCAAGAGCATGGGAAGACGTTCAGAAAACAAGGTGCTCTAGCCTGCCCATTCAGAATGTGGAGAAATCCTATGAATGTCTGGAATGTGGAAAGAGTATGCAAAGAATTCACAGTGGGAGAAACCCTACAAATGGATTTCATTACTTTTTGTCAGAATAGTCATAACCGTAATTATCTTGTGTTGTCAAGTCAGTTCTAATTTACGGTAACCCATTCCAGAGTAGAAAGAACATCCTTCCCAGACGGACCACAGTGAAGACTGCACTGGTCTTGCCCCTGATGCGCTTTCATGATCTGAAGGGTGCAGTGCTTACTGGGAGCTGTCAGGATTCCCTGAAAGAACCACATTGGTCAGAAAATATGGCAACATACTTCCACTGTGTTCCCAGTCAGGGGGCCACAAACAGGACTTTCAATGTGATGGCGGAAGGGACCATGGCAAATCCTTATTATAGGCTGATTTTCATGATGTAAGGTTGCCTTCTCTTGTTGAAGTGAGGAATCTTGCATCATGTAAACTTTAAAATACGGGTCATCTTTTGTGCAAACAAAGCTGTGTAGATTTATGGAGCATAGATATCCTCCAACCATGTAACTTAATATCAGTAACCATAGTACAATGAAATTCCAAGGGTCTTGTCTGTTCAAGGTGATTCTGGTAGGACCTAGAATTCTGAGACTTCATCAGTGAGAATAAGTAGTTTTTTATGCTGCTTTTGTGTCTTCCTTGACCCAAATTAAGTACATGCTGTTGCACAGCTCTGCATGAATAGTGGGGGTGTTGTCATTAACAGCAGCAAATCACCACTGATTAAAGGGTTCATTGGTGATTTCAGGGTGCTTGTGACTTTGTTGCATTGTGTATCTGTCACATTCACCCTGAAAATATCTGGAAGATATGGACTCCTTAATACCGCCCCCCCCAAGGATCACATGTTTTATGTTTACCTGGTCAGGAGGCATATTTTGATAAGGAATTCCACATATTGACTGTAAGATGAATGATTTCGCAATTCTGCTTTGTGGCTGAATTATCTTCAGACCATGGCTTTTTTGTTTTTCTTTTTTTCTCTCTCTCCTTTTCATCTCTGCTTCTTCTCTGCCATTGGTAACATTACAGGAACATTAAAAGCAAGAGTGGAGAGTTGGTGTGAATTTCTATAGGATAAAAAGATCCAGTGCCATGAGTATCGGACTTGGGCTCGGGAGATCTGGCTTCAAATACTGTACCCATTTCGCCATGGAAGCTCTCTGGGGTGGAGAATAGCAATCAGAAACTACTTCTTGAACACCTTGCATAACTAAAAACTTACTAGAATCACACTAAATTGGAAATGACGTGACACAGGACAACCATAACAAAAAGAGTGAAGAAATTAAAAGCCATTAATTCTATTCCATTTCTCCATTGCTTCTTTTTCCTTTTAGAAATTTCTTGTTTGCAACTTGGGGCAAGACTGCTAAAAGGCTAGAAACATAACGAGATTTAACAAGAGGACAAGTGGAAGCTTAGGAGGAAATCTGGTATTTTAGAAAGAGAACTCTGATTAATTTCCCTAGTGTTTTAAAAAAAATAGTCCTATGTTGCTGTAATCCATTTTTCATTAAATCATTGCATGTTATCTGAAATGTACTCTTTTTGCTGCGAGCATTGTCATTTTTGCATTTTGAGTCTATTGCATAGAATAATTTTTTAAATCTAAATAAACCTTTCAGCTTTATTACGTATGTTAATAGCCTTTGGCCATCTCTAAGTACAGCGTGGGCTAAACGGAGAACTCCATTTTTACAGGTGTGTCCACCAAATTTCTGTGGGACAGACAGCTATGAGATTGCACAGGACAATGTTCATTCTATCTAATGCGTTATACCAATTATATTAAAGAGTAAGAGACACTACTATTGTCCAAAGAGAAGTTTTCTTTTAAAAATATGGTATGAACCTGGACCATTGTGTTCATTAATAATAATACAAAGAGTGCTGGAATCTTCCTAAGTGATAGTCATTGAAATGGTAGAAATTATAGTCATTTCACTTCCTGTGTCCTTCCATTTTGTGCTATAATAAATGTATTTTTTTAATGTTAAAATCGCTATGACAATTGAAAACAAACATAAGAATGACAGAGAATACAGCAATGATGGGCAGAACATCAGAGGGCATATCTGTCCAGAGGGGCAAAAACTTTGGAACCAGAACAACATTTCTAACTTGCCAATGAAGTACAATCTGAGAGATGGCCATTTGAGCTTCAGTGGACAAGGGTGTAGCCACTGAACAGGCCCTGCTCCACACTTTCTCACTGAGGATTCTGGTTCTCCAGGCATGAAAAACTGCATAGCAAAGACTTAATGCTTCAGAGTGTTCCAGCCTACATTAAAAAAACTTTCCTGAGTGGCGGAATGCCCCCAACACTGATCTTTTCCTCCCCCCCCTTTTTTTGCTTTTTCTTTTTGAAAAATCTGGATGTGCAAGAAATAATATCAGTCAGGGAGAGAGGAAGACTGGCCCTGTATCTTTTCAATGTGGCAGTTCTGCATTTGAAGGTTTGCTGGAGGGCACAAATCCTTTTGAATGTATCCTGTATTTGAAGGGCCATCCAGCAGTCAATTTCTGATTTAAAGTTCATGGATCGTCAGAAAGAGGGAGAACAAGGTCCTTGAAGCTGCCAGTTCCTTATAGTGCAAGATGGGCAGGAGAGCCTGTTGGCGTGCAGAACAAGGTCCTTGAAGCTGCCAGTTCCTAATAATGTGAGATGGGCAGGAGAGCCTGTTGGCGTGGGGCCAAAACTCCAGAGGCTTAATGAGGCTCTGAGTCTGGTTGAATGTGAAGCTTGGCAAGAGCACTCTGTTTGAAAGACAAGCCTTGAAACTAAGGACACTAATTATACAGCGCCTCTTATCATGACTACTTCCATTCCTCCTACTTAAATAGCAAAGTAAGAGACTTAAACATGGGGAGAAAGCAACATGAGAGAGTTCTTAGTGATTATAATATAGTATATTGGACATGGCTATACATATACACCTGTATAAGGCAACATACATTTGGCATAACAACTTTCAGAGCAATAATGACATAGAAGCAAAATGACCACCAGACTTACTGCTGAGTGGCAAAAGTCTGTTCTATTGGTTGTTGTGAGTTTTTTGGCCTCTTCAGCCATGTCCTGAAGGTTGTTCTTCCTAATGTTTCGCCAGTCTCTGTGGCCGGCATCTTCAGAGCACATCTTCACTCTGTGCTCTGGTGCAGTTGGCTAGGGAGTGCAGTATTTGTGGCTGTGAGATGGGCTGTCTGTTCTGTCTTTGTTACATTTATAGCCAGAACAACCAATCACATTTCACCATTTACAGCTGGTCTTGCTTAACAATCAAGCATTACATCAGCTTGTTACACCTGTATGCTGTTAGTCATTACCTTGGCTCTACATTTGTGACTCTGCACTTCATTACAGTATTAAAATTTAACTCCTTGTTCACCAAAAGAACAAAATCCTGATAGAGCCAAGAGGCATACAGGTCTCCTGTCTGCAAGATTTGCTCAGGTGAAGGACCTGTTCCTCTAAAAGAACCAGGTTCAGTATAGGTCATTTCAACATTTCCCCCTCTATCTGGATTATCTAAGAGTTATGTGAAATTAGCAGTGCCTTTTCCCATGCTTTTCACAACATGGCTTATTTGGTTCCAAGCTTTGTATTGGAAGCTTGGTGGGGTATACTACTACAAAGCTTTTCTTCATAGGGGGTTTTCAGATCAGTGAGATTGATAGGCTCCATAAAGGAAGCCACCGGTTTGAGTTGACAAAAGCTGGAGGTCCCTCATTCATAGGGTTACCATGGATTGGAGGGTGGTTCTTGTTTTTTTGGTTTTTTTCCTCTGCAGGTGCTTGGACTCAGTCAGCTTGGGGTCACTTCCAGTTGCAAAAATCTACGAGTCTCTGTGCACACTTCTGTACAGAATTCTCCAAAACGTTTCCTCTGATTCAGTGATATATCTTATACTCCCTTCGTTTCTCTTCTGACTAGAGAGTGGAGGTCATGATGGCTGTTTTGACTTTGGATGCCAGAACTCTGGGGGTGTCTTGTGGTGCTTCCAGATCAGGCAGCACCCATGTTCTTAAGCCAAGAGGTTCTTCCCCTTCCTTCTATTCCCTTTTATTGTTACCTTGAATGACCATCTGTAACAATCTGATTTCTTTTATTATGCAACCCAAATCATAAAGTCATAAAATAATTGAGTTGCAAGGAGCCTATAAAGCCATCAAGGCCAACCCTCTGCTCAAAGCAGAAATCCAAGTCAAAGCAGATCTGAGAGATGGTAGTCCAATTTTCTCTTGAATGCCTCCAGTGTTGGAGCACTCACCACTGCTTTAAGTAATTGGCTCTATTTTTGTACTGCTCTAACAGTAGGAACTTCTTCCTGATACTCATCCTAAATCTGATTTCCTGAAGCTATAGCTCATTATTATGTGTCCTGCACACTGGGATGATTCAGAGCAGATCCTGCTCTTATCTTCTCTATGACTAACTTTCAAATTAAAAATGCTATCATATCTCCCCTCAGTCTTCTCTTCTTAAGGCTAAACATGCCCGGCTCTTAATTGCTCCAGTTTGTTGGCATCCTTTTAGAGTGCTGTGTCCAGAACTGGACAAACTACTCGAGGTGAGGCCTGACCGAACTGGACAAACTACTCAAGGTGAGGCCTGACTAGTATGGAGTGGAGGAGGACTAGTTCCTGCTGAGATCTGGAGGCTATTCGTCTGTTAATGCAGCCTAAAATAGCATTGGTGTTTTTTTTGCAGCCCCATTGTACCTCTTCCAAGACTGTTCTCATTTATAGTACAGTATTACTGAGCCAAGTATGCCCCATATTGTAACTGTATTTAGTTTCTATGTCTTTAGTTTCTAATACTATGTATTTAGTTTCTGTCTCCCCCACAGAACTTTGAACTTACCCCAGTTAAATTTCATTCTGTTGTTTCCAACAGTGCTTAAAGCTCTCCAAATATTTTAAAATTTTGTTCGATTTCTGTCGTCGTCGTTTAGTCGTGCCCATGGACTCATGCTTCTCATGAGATGACCAGAGTTTTGGAGCCTCAGCTTCAGGATCTGTCCTTCCAGAGAGGATTGATTTCCTTCAGAATGGATAGGTTTGATCTCCTTGCAGTCCAGGGGACTCTCAAGAGTCTCCTCCAGCACCACAGTTCATAAGCATCAATTCTTCTTTATGGTCCAGCTCTCATTTCCATACATTGCTACTGGAAAAGCCATAGCTTCGACTATGCAGACCTTTGTCAGCAAGGTGATGTCTCTGCTTTTTACGATGCTGTCTAGGTTTCTCATCACTTTCCTCCCAAGAAGCAGGCATCTTTTAATTTCGTGGCTGCTGTCACCATCTGAAGTGATCAGGGAGCCGAAGGAAGTAAAATCTATCACTGCTTCTGTGTCTTCCATTTCTATCTGCCAGGAGGTGATGGGATCAGTGGCCATGATCTTAGCTTTTTTGATGTTGTGAAATCCCTATTAGGGTTGCTATAAGTCAGTTCCAACTTGACGGCACAGAACGACAGCAAGCACGCCTTACAGTATTTTGGTGTCTGATCAATTGCCTCTTGGATGCTTGTTTAAGAACTTTCAGTGAAGGGGTCTGAGTGTGTTGGGGAAGCTGAGAGCAAGGCCACCAGGAGGCCAGCCTCCATTAGGAGCCTGGACTCCTGAGCAGGGTCACCCAAGGTGGAACAGTCGCAGCAGAGGCATCAGACTAAGATGCATCCACCCATTTAAAGGCAGCTCTTGGGCAATAGTGGGAACTAAAAGTGACACCGGCAGAAGAGGCAAAATCAATGACAAAGGAACTGTTGTTCGCACTGGGCAGTAGAGCAGATGAGAACGGTTAGCTCCTGCTGAACCACTTGTCCAGAGACACCTGCTTCTTTCTTTTCGTCGTAATTAAGGTTTTTTGGGTGTGTATGTGACCATGCAGAATGGATAGCAATTTCAGTCTCCAAAAATCTTCCAGGAAAAAAAAAATCTTAAAAGACTAGTTGCCGGTCACAGCAGAATTCAAGGTAAGTAAAATAAAGATGATTTCCCATAATCATACCTTGAGAGCCACATACTGTAAAGTTTTTCTAGACGAAAGATCTTGGCATTTGTCTCTGAAAGGGTTAAAAGCAACAAATTTCGAGGTTCCTAGAGAAGGTCGAAACGCGGAAGAGGCGGTGACTTTCACCGGATATTCTGCACCCCGTAAGTCCCTCCTCCTTTCTGCTTCAGGGGTGGGAATATAAACGGGGGCATTTTTCTAGACTATGATTCCCATATTCCTTCAAGTGGTGGTTAGAAATTTGGGAGTGGTCAATAAAAAAGTAACTTTTCCAAGCTTTGTGACGGAAGCATATCCAGGGGTACAAAGTCCTCCTTCTTCCGAAATACTACAATTCCCAGAATCCACAGCCTTCAGTGCAGTGACTGGGATGGCGGGAATTGTAGTCTAAAATAGTTACGGATCCAAACCGTGAAAAAGACGAATCAAGAACGTGGAGACCTTTTTATTGTTGGACAGCAATACCGGTGGTCGCCCTGGCTGGGCATTCTGGGAGTTGTAGTAGGTGGGGGGAAAAGAAACCTTTCCAAGCCTCTCCAACCTGTGAGTAGCGTGTTTGCCCACCCCTGCCAGTGGGAGTCAGGTGGCAGCTTGGCCTGAAAGGAACGGGCGTTACATTCCTGAGAGGGAACGAAGCTGGGCTGGGCTGAAGGAGCGACAACCTTCAGAACAAAGGCAGCTCCTCTGAGCAAAGGCGTTACTTACTCCTCCTAGCGTTACTTGCTCCTACCTGATGAGATCTGGTAAGGATCCCCTTGCCGTTCTCTCTTTTTCATTTGAAATTATTTTTTTTCTTTTACTTGAACAATTGCTTTTAATGTGAACACCTATTTAATAGTTTCTAAATTGTTGCTTAATTTCCTAAACACTTGAGATTTTTCTTGTTTAAAAAAAGCTGTATCTGTCTCAATTCATACTGACCTCTCTATGGTTCTGCCTTGTTGGGATATAAAGAAAATGAATCAAAGAACGCAAAGGGCCAACTAGCAGCTGGGAGGGTGAAACTTCATTTTGGGGATTCCTCCCAAGGCAATAGCTAGTGTCTTTCTCTCTTCCTTTCTGCAGAGCTAAGACTTGATAATCAGGTAAGAGATATAAAGGAAAAGACTACAGATCTGTTGATCAGGCTGCTGTAATCATCATCATCATGTGGTACCTAGTCACTTCTGATTCATGGAGACCTTTTCCAGGGTTTTCTAGGTAGAGAAGACTTAGAAGTGGTTTCCCATTCTCTTCACCTTTGGATGCTCTCGGACTGTGCACAGCTTGCCCAAGGCCACCCAGTCTGGCTCTTCTCTCGAGGAGGCCCAGTGGGGAACAGAACTGATGACCTCTGGCTCCGCAGTCATACACCTAAACTGCTGAGCTCTCTGGCCATCAGTACATCTCTTATAATACAGAATCTCTTAATATACAACGGTACATCTCTCAAAATCCTTAAGGCTTCTTCAGATAATTTGGGATTACAGCTCTCAAATCCCAAAACCCAGTGGGGGTGCCAGCTGAATTTTTGGGGAGATGTAATTGAGTACCTCCGGGTCTGCAAGTTTGGGGTCTGGTTTGTCATGTCACAACAAGGATAGCAAAATTTACTATTAATTGTACATACTCTTTTTAAAAATTATTAAAAAAAAACTAAACATATTAGCATAAAATTTACATTCAATTTACATACATTACATACAGAAATAATAATACAAAACTTAGTGCTTTTTTGACCCTGGGGACCATTATATCTTACTTATTACCTCCTTATACCAGACATTCAATCCATCATTCAACTGTCCCCATATCCCTTCCCAAAATACTGTACATATAATCTTGGTTCAGCTTTTTTCCTTTCCCTCGACTCAATACAGCATTTATAAATTCCCATATCTCATTAAATCTATTTGTCTTTAATTCTCCTTTTTTGAACTTAATTTCCTAAGTCAATTTATCATCAGTATTCCAAATTTTGTCATACTATCCATGCAATTGGAAAACCAAGTTTTGCTTCCAGTTTTTTCTTTGCAATGAGCAGTCATGCTGTTAACATATTCATTGTCATCTCTCTTTTTTTACTTATATCATATCATCATTTTCTATTAAAAATAATAATGGTATGTTTGGTGACATTTCACTACTCTTTAAAAAGCAAGGATGGGAGAAATTCAGGGATTCTCTTCCAGCAGAATCCCTGATTAGTTAGCCTGCTGGTTGTTGTGTTCTGTGAAGTAATATCTGACTAATAGTGACCCTATCAGGACCTTCAAGGGAAGTTTTACAAGTTATGTACCCCCCGCAGTGCCTAGTAGGGATTTGAGCCCATGTCTCCTGAGTCCTCATTCACCACTATCCACTATACCATTCTGTTGAGTCTAGAGAGGGGAGCTTTGTATTTGTCTCCCGGGGGAGATGAATACAAAACTCGCCAACATAGCTGGCTGGCCCAATTGGACCCTGCCCCAAATCAGGTGTCACAATGCATGGTGGACATCATTGAAAATGCACCAATCATGGCAGTAGCCTGGCTGGCCACTCCAGTGAGGGGGTGGAATGATGAGCCTCCCTGCTCAGCTGCTGAATGGCTGGCCGAACAGGGAATCAGGGCAGTACCAACTAGGCCACTGCTGCGATTGGTGCGCTTTCAGTGATGCCGGCCGCACACAGTGCGTGGTAAGTGGGTGCCCGGTTTGGGGGTGGGGGAGAGGGTTCAATCAGGCTGGCCATCTGTGCCAGCAAGCTTTGTATTCCTCTTCCCTGGGAGACGAAGATGAAGGCCCCATGTCTAGTTGGGACTCCTCCTTTGCTACACTTTTATACAGTGGGGACATGAAAAATACAGTGGTGCCTCGCTTAACGAGCACCTTGGTTAACGACGAATCCGCACAGCGACAGATTTTTTGCGATCGCAACAGTGATCGCATTGCGATGTTTTTAATGGTAAAAAATCGCTTTGCGATGATTGGTAAGCTGTTTCGCATAGCGATGTTTTAAAAACAGCTGATCGGCGGTTCCAAAATGACCACCAGAAAAAATGGCTGCCCGCTGTTTTTTCGCGCTGGTTCCTTGCATACCGGGCAGCGAAAATGGCGGCTGTATGGAGGATTTTCGCTTAAAGGTGAGTTTTAAGCCCATAGGAACACATTAAACGGGGTTTAATGCATTCCTATGGCCTTTTTCTTTTTGCATAGCGATGAATCCAGATAGCGACAATTTTTCCAGAACGGATTATCGTCGCTATGCGGGACACCACTGTAATGGGGTACCCCCATATACAGTAGGGGACATGATATATCATGGAGTACCTCCATGTTATGCAGATATTCAGTGGAGGAGATGGGTTAGAAGGAGCTTCTTTTACCCCAAGAAAGCAGAGCTGGTCTGTCCCACTTGCTATGAGGCCCTAAAGCATGAGGGATGTTTGAAAGAAAGATGATGCTCTATGTGAACTTTTGTTCTGCCTGAAAGACATTTCTAAGCTATGATACCAAAGCTTATGTGTGAGAAAAGTATGGGCCAAAACCAGGAACTGATCAGCCAATGTTGGCATCTGACAAGAATTCAGCTCAGAGGTGGCCTTCACACTGGGCAAACGTGGTAGATGCTGAGGGGTGGCAACAAACCTTTAGAAAACAGAAGTGGGTGATCCATGGCTTATCCTCCAGAACCAAAGCTAGCCTCTTGCTTTCCTGCGAGGCTGAACATAAACACTCATTGACAGGTTTAAACAAAAGTTCTAGTTCGCTTTTGTCTATGGGAGAGGGAATAGGGTGGCCACATGAAAAAGACCACAGAGCTCCTGTGCGTTAAATAATATGCAAGAGGGTATTTTTGCAGGAGCTTTGTGTGCTGTGCCAGCTAGACCCCCCTAACATTGTCTCTTCCACCCAGCCACTGAAAGGAAAAAAAGGCTCCACAGTTATTTGGGGCGAGGTCAGGTAGCTGCACAAGGGGTACCTGCAATGTATGTAAATAAATGCATTTTGAAAGGTGTTTGGCACTGTCAGTGCTACTGAGTCCCTGTGGAGAAGAGGCAACAATGGCAAGGTATTCAGTGATGTCATTCTTCCTTATATTGTTTCCACATCATGAATTTAAAAGTAGATTTTGAGGGCAAAATTTGTTTTCCGTTGAAAATGTTATCTCCTTTCAGTTCTCAGGTTTTGGTAGTTGTTTTTATATTTTTCTTTTACTTCCACCAGGCCTCCTATTTTTTCCATCTGACTTTCTCTGGATCCTGTACAAGATTGATTCCGGATCGATCTTCTGCCACTTTCTTCTGAATCCACAGGAATCTGCTTCTTCAAAATAGGTAACTGTGTGTCTTTTTCCTACAATCTTTCAGCACAACTGCTATCTATTCAAATTCATTTTGAAGACGATTCCAAGTTAGAATAAGGTGCCATATAAAACAGTTAAATTGAGTGTGTGTTTGTGTATGCACGCTAAGACTGGTTTGTGGTTTCATTGGGCTTTGCCCTCGTGAGCTAAACATTTGGCCATCTGCACGTACTTTCTGCTTCCCTAAATCCTGGAACAGTTCCTTTTCTAGACTACAACCCCAGGAGGAAAGCTGGCCGGATGATGTCAAGACTTGTAATCAACTGAGATCAGTTTCCTCCTTGCCTCCAAAAACCTCTAGTTTCACTTCTGAGCTGCTCTAAAAAGAGTTAAAGAGAGAAGGATCCAGGGAGAAACATAGCTTGGAAAATACTTACCCTCATTACCTGCAAGTAGTTTCTACTCTGTTTCCCCAAAAATAAGACAGGGTTATATATTCATTTTTGCTCCAAAAACGCATTAGGGCTTATTTTCAGGGGATGCTTAATTTTTTTCATGTACAACAATCTACGTTTATTCAAATACGGTCATGTCGTCATCTTCTGTGAAGGGCAGGATTTCACTGAACTGGGGCTTATTTTTGGGAGTAGGGCTTATATTACGAGCATCTTGCAAAATCATACTAGGTTTTATTTTTAGGTTAAGTCTTATTTTAGGGGAAACAGGGTATTGGGTAATGAGCAGTAGCATATTAATCCATAGATAGGGAAAGAAGGATAGAATTAAGCTAATTCAGGCATTTTAGAAAAGGGATCCAGCATCCTCTATGTGTAGTCTCTTTCCATTATTGAGAATCCTGGTATTTTTTAAAGGTTCCTAATAAGGTGGAGAGTGTCAAGGTGGAAGAGTCTCTCTCTTCCTCTGTTTCTCCCCAATATGGGGGGTTTCCACACCTGCCTTTCACTCTCCACTCTGGGTGAGGAATCTATTTCTACTCCCCTGTCCATGGATTTGCTTTTTTCTAGTACTCTCCACAGTCCTTCCACCTTTTCCTCCTCAGCAGCCCAACACTCGGTTTTGACTACCCCTCCCCCTCTCATCTCCCTCTTTTTTTCTCCTCTCCTTTTCCCGCCAAAACTACTCCCCCTCTTGGACATTCATTTCCCAAGCTTTCTGACTTTTTCCCCATTTAAACCCACATTTTCTGCTATTCTGCCCATTAAAGTCTTCATTTCAGTTGTTATGTCAGCTATTTTCTCTGGGGATGGCACACCCCTACTATTTCTTCTTCCTCACACCTGCATCATCATTTTTTACCAGCTCCATTAGCAGCTTTTATTTTGTATGAACCTGTCATTTTTTGTCATTCCAAATTCCTTTCTTGCTACTAAATATAGAAATTGCAGCTTATATAAGAGAAATAAGTTTTGAGGCATTTGCCGGTAATACAGCAAAAATATGTGGGCGTGCGTAGAGTCATATACTGTAGATGCTTCCTTCCACATCTCCATTGCTGTTGCTTATGAAGTAGCCCTCCCACACGGGCAGATTCTAATGATGGCACAAATAAATATAAGAAAGGTACTACCTCAAAATATCCAAGTGGCCAAACCTGTTTAGGGCTTTATAGGTAATAATCACCACCATTAACTCAGATGAAAAAAGGTATGAGCAGCCAGTTCAGTCCTTCCAGATCTGGGAGTTCTCGAATGTACATCTGCCACATATTACACTCAGTACGGGATCAGTGTCACCTTCAAAGGCAGCCCCACATGGAGGGCATAGAGCAGGACATATAATACCTGTCTGTTTGTGCTTTCCCTAAGCCCCAGTTTTTCCCATTCTAAAGTGATAATCTTGCTCATACTCCCTTTTAGTAACACTGGAGATCAAGAAATAGTTATGGTTCTCTCTTTCCTAGAAAGGCTTTGAAAATACATGAACAGCAATTCAAGGGTGATAACGACAGATCATTTGTGGGCAGGGAACCCCTTAACTAAAATGACACTCCTGTGGCCCCTTAAGAGACATACAGTGAGGCAGACAGAATGGAACCAACATTTTAAAAAGAGTTACCATTAAAACATGCCTCTTACTGCCATGAAACTTCCCATGAGGGGGATCTAGTGTCATATGTAAACATTTCGTGAAGACTGTGAAACACCCCATATTTTGTTTTCAACATGGATCTCACAAGGGTGTTCCCAGCATGGAAGACCACCATTTCCTCACAAAAGTTCACATATGTTATGTATGTCAGGAAAAGAGGTGGAATGGCTTGTCCCATCTGTTCAAGAGAGAAGAAATGTGATAAATTCTGTTTGGTTTCCCTCAGTATCTTAATTGGTGGCAGAATCAGTCTTTCCATTGATCACTGTGAAGGTAGGTCCCCACGCAGAGCTGGATTTTATCTTGGATCCTCCATGGCAGTTCATAGGGGTTTGTTAATTTGAGCCTGTTTTTCCTGCTGACTTTTGTTTTGCCTCATTTTAGCAGGAAAAATGTCAAAGAGAAGAAACGAACAAGGAGGACATCAAGAACCAGAGAAAGGGGCTGAATGTTTGGATGCCGGAGAGGGTGTTGAGAATCAAGATACAAACAGGAAGCTTGGAGGAAAGCAAGTAGAGGAGAAGATGGACATATCCATGGCTTGTCCAGAGGAAGTCCAAGTCCATCAGACAAAATCCAAGAGACAGCAAAGCCATGAATGCCCCGAGTGTGGGAAAACATTTCCCCATAAATCAGCTCTAGATCGCCATGAGAAAGTTCACAAAGGGGAGAAACCATTTACATGCCTGGAATGTGGAAGGGGCTTCAGTCAGTCTGCAAACCTTGCTAAACACTTCAGTATCCATACAGGTGAGAAACCATTTGAATGCTTGGAATGTGGGAAAACCTTTAGACTGAGAGAAATTCTTATTATTCATGAACGAACTCACTCAGGAGAGAAGCCATTTGAATGTCTGGAGTGTGGAAAAAGCTTCTGTCACCGTGCACATCTTATTAGGCATCGCAGGACTCACACAGGTGAGAAGCCATTTAAATGTCTGGAGTGTGGAAAGAGTTTCAGTCAATCTGGAAACCTTGCTACACATCTCAGGACCCACACAGGTGAGAAGCCATGTGAATGTCTGGATTGTGGGAAAACCTTTGGACAAAGATCACATCTTACAACCCATGAAAGAATTCATTCAGGGGAGAAGCCATTTAAATGTCTGGAGTGTGGAAAAAGCTTCAGTCAATGTACAGCACTTGCAATACATCACAGGATCCACACAGGTGAAAAACCATTTGAATGCCGGGAATGTGGGAAAAGCTTTGGGCTTAGAGCACATCTTACAACCCATGAAAGAATTCATTCAGGGGAGAAACCATTTAAATGTCTGGAGTGCGGAAAAAGCTTCAGTCACCGTGGAGACATTGTTAGGCATCACAGAATCCACACAGGGGAGAAACTATTCAAATGTATGAACTGTGGAAAGACTTTCAGTCAGAGTGCCAACCTTGCTACACACCTCAGGAGCCACACAGATGAGAAGCCATTTGAATGCCAAGAATGTGGAAAAAACTTTCGAATGAAAATATCCTTCACTAATCATCAAAGAATTCACAGGGGGAAGAAACCTGACATAGGTCTTGTGTGTGGAAAGAGCTTCATTTGTGGTGTCAATCTTATTAAAGATAATCACATCCACAATGGGGAGAAAACCTTTAAGTGTCTGAGGTGTGGAAAGTGTTTCAGTCAAAAGTCAAGACTTGCTATCCATCAGACCATCCACATAGAAAAGAAACCATTTAAGTGTCCAGAGTGTGGAAAGGCTTTCAGAAAGAAGTCCCATCTGGAGGTGCATTGTAGAACTCACATTGCAGAGAAAAGTTATAAATGCCCTGAGTGTGGAAAAAGGTTAAAGTCAGGTCAGACCCTTAGAATATACCGAAGAGTCCATACAGGGGAGAAACCCTTTAAGTGGCAGGAGAGTGGAAAGAAGTTCCGTCAGAGAGGTAAACTTACTATGTGTTACAGAATCCACACAGGGAAGCAGCCCTTTAAATGTCTGGAGTGCGGAAAGAGCTTCAATTGAAGGCACCACCTTCATTCCCTTTAAATCGGGGTCCCCAACCTTTTCCGAACCATGGATTGTGTGTCCAGGGGGGCAGGAGAGGAGTGTGCATGATTGGGGCGCGTGTGCTTCCGTGCGTGCGGCATCTGTACGTGCATGCGGTGGGGCGTGTGTACAGGGGGCGGGAGATCTGTCTCCGTGGCCTCGTCCTGCCAAGGTCAATGTTGGGGACCTCGGCTTTAAAGGATGCATGGAGAGAAGCCAAGGTCCCCAACATTGACCTCCATTCACCCAAGTGAGTAGGGGAGGACAAAGCTGGAGAGTCAAACATGGAATAGAAAAGTGTGAATGGATACTAGAAGATGATGAGACTTTTAAACTCAAAAAAGGAAACCTTATGGATTAACTTTTGCAAGATATTTTCAAAACGTTAGCTTCCAAGTTGAAAAATACTGTTGATTTGAAAAGTTCTGCATCCCCATGCCTGAATCCAGGAGGGGAGGAAGAAGACCGTGGTGGTCTCGAGGGGACTGGGATAACTCCACAGATGGTAGCAGCAGCAGCAGGTGCCACAATTCCTTGAAGAATGTGTTTATCCCTTCATTCTCAAGTGACAAAGTTCAGTTTGACTTTACTGTTTCTGACCAATGGCTTGTTCAATATATTAAGTAAGAGATTCCTTGAGATGCTTATCACCAGTCCAATGGCAGCCCCCTTCAAAACAGATATCCAAACTCACTGATCAAACTGATGGGAATTCTACAACACTGGAATACTTAGCAAAACAAGAACATTGTTACTTGGCTGCTGATGCCAATTGTGCTACTGTTAGAGACCAAAAAAGAGAATTTATGGGGCACAGGAATATTGCCCTAAAAATGAATAGGTCTTTTAAAATGTTCCTCAGAGGTGTGCATAAAAAGTAAAAGTATCGTTGAAAAACTACAGCTGGGGAAAACAGCTTACAAAAGAAAAAAAAAACCTGAATTTTGAGTACTCAAAATATAACTAGTTCTTTTGAATACACAAAGGAACTGATAACTGATAACAAGGCTCATTCAGTGTCACACAAGAAAAAGGTAAATAATGACACAATGAAAAAGGTAAATAATAAAATGTTATGTGAACAGAGACAAAAGGAAAAAAATGAAAGTGCATTTTATTTTGTCGCTGGAGTTATGTTTTGCCTGTAATGTAACAAGGAGATACTGCAAAATGGATGTGGAGACCTATATTAAACAAATGAGAACAACAGTATAAAATATCAATGTTCTTTTAAGCTATTTCTTATTAAGCAAAAGAAAAACAAAGGTGTCATTTCTTTATAAATTGTAAGCCTCATGAGTAATAGTAACTAAGTACTGAAAGGAGTATAAAATGATATAAGATTTATGAATGAAATATGTGTATGTCTTGGACTGTCACCAAGGAAGAAGTATTATCTGATGAGGTGGTGAAAACTCATCAGATCTCGCCTGGACCAATTCCTCATATATGTAGCCATCCTCCATTTCCATCGTCAGCTTCAGCAACTTCCACATATAACTTCCACTGTAACTGTACATATTCTACACTCCTCTCTCTCTCTTGTCCCAGTTCTTCCTAATCTGCTGAGTATCAGTCCAGTCTCCACACTAGCAACCCATCTGCAACTTCATCCATCTCAGGAACCGTTCAGCACAATCTCCATCCCTTTTTTCTCACTAAGCTTCCTCTCAGAAAGCACAACATTATGCACCAATCATGTCTCTCGGATGCAAGCCCTAATCCGTTGTTGTTTGATGCTGTTTGACCCACTGTGACGTTCAGGTGTTATCTCTGGTAGCCTGGATCCCCAAATCTGTGCATACAGACACCGACTGTAGTTGCAACTGTTGGACATTTATTTTAGAACCATCAAACAAAGAATTCGCTCCAACTGGACCATAGTCACTTTCCCTCCAACGGAGCTGGAAAAGGTTTCCACTCTTGAACGGATTTCCAAAACTAAAATTCCAAGGGCCTGGTTGTTCAGCAGCTACCCAGTCCTTTATCGTCGTCCCCATCGATATAGGTAACGGGCACAGACATGTCTCCCAGGAATTTCTCCCAGTTAATTCTCTCCCTGGTTTCCACAGTTTCCCAAGTTCTTTCGGGCTGGTCCTCTTCATCTCCCATGTTCGCCATTTACTCCCCTCTTGTCTCTCCTGTTCTACTTTCTCCCTCTCCTCTCTCTAGCCTCGGCTTTTCCCCAATACGAAAGTTTTGGGGGAATCACGGATCGTCTTCTAAGGTCTGCCTCTTCCCTCGGTACCTTTAGTCTTTCCCACTTATGGGTCCAAAAGTCTTCCAGCCAGATCCATTCCCATCCTAGTGGCAAAGTGTTTTCCTTCTCTAAATCTCTCCTGATCTTCCAACGATTCTACCTCTTTTTCTACCTTCACCCCCTCCCTTTTTTCACACCTCCTTTCCTGCCTTTTCTAACTTTTCCCTCAGCTCTTCCATCCCCCTCAAGCCCTGGGATAATCCTTCCCTTTGGCCCCCTAATGGGAGAGATGCAGGTGATACCCTCTCAGAGTCAAAAAGCAATAACTTTGAACGACTTATGATGAAAGTGAGGTGGGAGAAAGCGTTTTTATTGCCGACTCTTTGAATCCAATAAAAATTTTATATCAGGAGAGCATTTTAACTTTTCATTTGCAGACACTATTTTCATACCTTTTCCCAATCCGTCAGCTGAGCAGATGGGCCACTGATTTTTCCCATTTCTCTTAAGAGCTTGTACCTGCAGGAAAAAAATCTCTTAAGGAGCAGTAATTGAACGAAGTAGCAATCGGGGAAAGTAAAATAAGGACCACGTTCATAATAATAAATGGGACGCAAACTCAGTGATGGTCTCGGATGAGCGAAACTGACGGTTGGCTCTGTAAGAGTTAAAAGCAAGAGAAGGCAAGATTCCTAGAGAGGCAGGTGAGAGGAAGAGGCGGGATCTTTCTCCGGAAACGGTCGCTCCCCCAACAAGTCCGCCCTCCTTCAGAGGCGGCAACCTGAAGGAGGACTTGGAGAAGCCACCTTTTTTCTGGACTACAATTCCCATGTTTTAGATTTTTGCAGTCAGTAGTCTGAAAAAGGAGCTTTTCTAGGCTTTGTGGCCACCAGATATCCAGAGCTCTAAAACTGCCCTTTAAAACAAACACTACACCTCCCAGAATTCCTACCAAGTTGGCCCAGGAACTGGAAAGATGGGAGTTGTAGTCTTGAACAAACCTTCATATCAAGAAGTGGGAGACCTTATCTTTTGGAGCTACAACTGTATAATCCTGGTGGCGCTGCTGGCTGGGGATTCTGGGAGTTGTAGTGGGGATAAGAAGGAACAAAGCTCTGAGCCCCTCCGGCCTGAGGACCACGTTTGCCGGAAGAACCTCGGCCGGAAAGGAACGGCGTTACATTCCTGAAAGGGGGAACGGAGCTGGGCTGGAGGGGCGAAGGGAGCAGCTCCTCTACAGAGCCTTTTCTTCCTCTCTCTGGCAGGGCGAAGGCTTTCTTCTCCCTCCCGAGGTCTGGTAAGTGTCCTTTCCAGTCTTCTCTCTCTCCCCCTCCCCTCTTTTGATGCCTTTTAATTCAGTGGCTGCTTTTAACGTAGGCATCTACGTATTTCTAAACCGTTGCTTCGCTATATATAAAAGCCTGTTTTATGAGGGGGGGGGGATCTTCTTAAAGTGTATCTGCTTCCTATCGTGAGCAATCCTGGGTCTTGCCCAGATGAGAGAAGATGAATTAATCCGTCCCTAGCAAAGGCCTCCTCGCAGCCCGTAGGGCGAAAGTCCATTGGGGGATTTCCTCCTTCCAGGGCTACCTGGGCGCGTCTTATTCTCTTCCTTTCTGCAGAACTAGGGCTTGATATTCAGGGGATGGGCTAGAGAAGAGAATAGTACAGATTCCTTGATGCTCCCGTTACTCAACTCTCAAAATCCTTACCCTGCTGATCAGGAAAGTTGATATCTGTTAAGGCTTCCTGGAATAGTTTCGGGACCAATTTCTGAAAGGCCCTAACTTAGAATTGTGTAAAATTAGTGTAAAATTTAGAATGTAAAGCATTCCATGCTAAGCTTTGACAACTTCATGCATCACAATAGTGAAGAGGGGCCAGCTTCTCAAGGGACACTGTCAGCTTTTCTTGTTGATTTTCGTTGGGGGGGGGGGGGTTGGCATTTCTTTGATTT